AGAGCGAGAGAGCGAGCGAGAGAGAGAGAGAGAGAGAGAGAGAGAGAGAGAGAGAGAGAGAGAGAGAGAGAGGTCAAAGAAAAATAAATTTAATGTGAGAAATTTGGAATGAAAAAAATTGTTCGTTTGAAAAGTCAATTGCGAATATACTCTGAAACACGTTTATACGCTGCCCCCACCCAAAAAATCGCACCCGTGTGTGTGACAGCTCGTCGACCGCCTGGCCGACTGACTGAACTCGAGTTCCTTTCACGGATTATTCGTGGAAGCCGAATTATACACATACAAAAACATCGAAACTCTTCGAATCAGCCATACCAGTCACACGCTCATCAAAATGAAAATAATTTGATAAGAAAAATAAATATTTGCTCACCGTACGCGGTGACGGAAGAAGCACAACGGCCATCGTCCACACCAGCATCGTGGTCCACATGTTTGTTGACAGAGAATTTTTTTTTGGAAGAAATGAAAAAGCTCCCAACTTTGGAGCCTCTTTTCCTCCAAATTTTGATGTTCAATCCACCGCGATGATAATAACTCAATATTGTTGACAGTTGATTCTCCTCTTACCCACTTTATGGGTTACCTCCTCGAGGCGAAAACACAAAGTACTCGCTGCACAGCCATAAGGGCCCCCTTCAGCTATCCCTTGGGGTCGAAGTAATTTTTTATTCTTATTTTTCAAACGAACAAGCACACGACAAACACTTGATTACAGGAGAATATTATAATATATAAACGTGAGATTTCACATTGTATTCAACACTCTGAACCACTTGGGATACTCCATTTAATCCGTGTATGAATAATCCACTTTTGATGAATCCAAAGTGTACATTGATAAATCACACCGGTTTTTATTTAGTTGTTAGCCGCCGCTTCACTTCTTCATTTAATCCTTCAGTGTTGTCAGGACGTTGAAATAATAGTGAAAATTTGAATACAAAAATTTTCATTTACTCGTCTATTTCACTCGCGTTGCTCGAACAAACGATCAAAATTCGTCGTCAATTTGTTTCTAAGAAAGTACCCAAGCGTAGTGAAGAAATTTTTGCCTTCTAATTCAAAACAACTGGATGAACACGCGTGATAGCTCGACAGCGTAATTCCATGTGTAATGAATAAATATTTATCTCCAAATTCTCATTTACAATACTGTAATAACACTCCGAAGATTCACTAGGCGGCTGACGTGTTTTGTGAAAACCGTATAGCCCCCCCAGTATATGGCCTTTATTAAAAAAAAAAATAATCTATCGTGCGTGACCCTGCGGAAAGATGTGACTCGAACGCCGCCGCCGTCGGTCTGCCGCCTGGCTGAAGCTGCTGCTGCTGCTGGTACTGTTGGTATCCAAATGAGTGTGTCCCGCACGACTGTGTGCGTGCCAACGCTGAAGAGGGGGAAAAGCGTTTCAAAGAGGAGGCGACGTAGGAGGAAAATATGTCTTCGCTTCCCTGAGGATACGCCGCTAGTCCATACACCTCACACGTTGCCTTTTCCCCGTGACTAATTCAAATCAGTAGACAATACGTTGAATGAATTTTTGGAGGGAAAAATTGCAGTTGACAATAATCCGACGCTCCACAGTGAAGGAATGAGAATAGCTTCGAAATCCCGTGTGTAACACTTGCAAGTTCAACTACTGGCGTGTGACCAAATGCCAGAATGTTGTTCTCTCGTTTTACAATACTGTTGTTACTATTTTTTAATTGCGTTTACCCACTCGTACACTTTCTACTAATTCACTTTGTCTTTTTCTCAGCTTTCCCACCAAATTAATCCCTTTGAACCGCTGGTAATTTGCAATTGGCGCCACACTACGGTCGCGCTTCACACTGTTGTGTATAATCCGTTGTTACCACCAATAAACACACAGGTATCCAAACGCACGCTCTGATGATAAAGTACAGTATCCACAAGTTCAATTGTTATAAAACTTAAACACACTGTTATATCCGTTGCACTTTTACAGTGAATGAAATGAATAAAATGAATAATTGCAGGCACGTTGAGTTAATTTCACTTCTTTGAAGATTTATCCGTAGATTCAATCAGTCTCGAATTTACGTATAAACAAGAAATGACAATTGTCTATTTGTTTTTTGGTTGCTTTCGGAGCGTAATGGGTAAAACGCGTGCAAAGAGTTTGTTTATCGAGAAAAAATACACGCGTTACGTACTTGACGTGTGCAAGTTCAACCCTCGACTGGAGGTAGCGGCTGTGTTGAACCCCTACTTATAATAGTGGTCCCGGTGGGCCCCGCAGAGAACCAGCCAGCGGGAAAAAGGGAGAAGAAGCCAACATTGGAGGGAGGTGGTAGTGAAAAAGAGAACGAAGAGCATCAGGGGTAGCGGCACGCCACGCTGACGACGGGGGAAATCAGTCAGAGGAAAAGAGAGAGAGCAACAGCGTGTGGTAGTAGCGTGGGGAGGGGAGGAAATAAGGCAGCTGCAGGCCGGCTGCACGCGTTGACCATCCCCACCATTCCGCCGGTCTTCTCCATGCCTCAACCACCCCAACTGTACGCACATGTACGCATTTTGTCGCGCACGCTTATGTCTTTCTTCTGTGTACTTGGCGAATCACAGTTCTCTCATTATTTCACACTCCAACGCGTAACTTTCGGTAGATGCAGACATATCTACGACGCAACCGATAACTCGATAGCTACGGAAATTTTCAGTATCATTCCAGTACCACCCCTTCCCCCCACGTTTTGGTTGGATTTTACTCGAGTTAGGCACGCGCCGCATGCCACCTTTCTTCACGACTTGTGTGACGTCACGGACATATGTTATTCATTATACATATCTGTACAGTGGATATGGCGTTATTCTTTCCACTTTTTTCATTATGTACATATCTCAGGGGGTTGGTTTCATTTTCGAATATTTCAATTTCATAAACCGTTGCGGAATTTATTGTAATATTTATCACTCTGCACAATTTTAATGTTGAATTATGGCGATGACAAGGAAAAAATCGATGGAGAATAATAACGGGATAATTTTTAACTAATTATGGCATTAATAGGTATTTTCTATCAGTGTATGGAAAACTTGAGCAACTCTAGGACCTACATTTTCGATAACCAAAAAGAATCAAAGAAACTAGTACTACAGATCCCGCTATATGGCTGTATTAACTGAAAGTACTTGCGAACGCTTGGGAATAATTTCATATGTGGCCCATGATTGAAAAAATCAAAATTAATCGAATAGCCCAGAACAAAACAACTGGGAAATTGCTCTTGTACTATATATAGTAGAGTTATTTTTGATAATAAATTAGCAATATGCTTATGAATGGTTATTTTGCATATCATTTCCTCCTATCATCTATAATTCATTGTTTATTTCATTTTAACTTCGTCAGATTTTCAACTTAGTTGAATGTTAGCAGCATCATTATTGTTATTATAAAATTCCTTTTCTTCTATACAACCGCCCGAGTGGAAATTCCGGTCAGGTCTTGATCAAGTTTGTATCAGGTTAGACCTGACCACTGATCAGGTATTGATCAAGTTGACGGATCCAGTCTTGATCAGACATGTTACGCCTCTGACCAATCCGGATTTGATCAGGACGAGTGGATCCGAACTTGATCAAGTTAACTATATGAAAACCGGATGACCTGTCTGTCAGTATCAATAAAAATTATCAATAATAATTAATTCAAAACAAAAGATAATTCAATTCTTTCACCGTAGGCCGCCTCTCTTAATGAATCTCTACTGTTATTACCTCTGAAAAAAAGCTTATTATTTTCTTTCCGATGCTGGGGATCGAACCGGGGACCCTACAATTGCTAATCCTATGCCCTAACCACTACGCTATCGCGCTATTACTATTGAGTAAACTGTACATTCCCTATATGATTTGTATCGGGGTATTTGTTGAATTTACGATTATGCCTGATTTCGCGGATGTGCGTGTGTATTCTCAGAGATAAAATATGCTCAATTAAATTTTTATTTATTTTATTAATGAATAATAATAATAATGATAATAACAATAACACTAGTAAATAAATAGACATTTGGTGATTTTTTTTTCTCAAGATCATTTGCGTGTAAGTTTGATACTCCTCTACTACGTATTTACGACATCATCATCCCTCCCTCCTGTACATTTGAGAAGGGCTGGCTGTGGATTAAATCAATTAGTTAAATTAAATTCATTAAATTAAATTAATTTAATTCATTTTAATTATAGTATAATGATCCTTTTTAAAGATTGAAAATAATTATTGATAATGGTTGATAAAACTTAATTTGAATAATATAATAATAGTTGATTCAATTATCCGAAAAACGTATTAAAATTAATGTCCGATGGACCGGATCTGAATCTGATCATTTCCTCTTCAATTAACCCCATTCAAATGCCGATCAAAGACATCAAATCGGAATTGGATCAAATTGGGATCAGGCAGCCGATCTCAGGGTGAGATCGTGCCTACCTGCTCAGAACTTGATCTGAATCATCCTGCAGTTTTTCGGATCCGATCTACTGGATCAAAATTTGGTCAGGTTCTCATCATGCATCATCCGATCTGAACCCGCCTGTAGTTTTTTTTTTGTAGTTTTTTAACTTGGTCAGCCCCCTCTACTGGGTTCCCACTTTGTCGTAGTGAGGGGGCTCGGTCGCGGGCGGTGGAGGTCTTAAGGACTACCGCTGCCCGCGGTCGCTAAGAGAAGTCCACCCAATCCATGTGTATGAGCGGCGTAAGCCATGGCCTCGGCCATACCGTGCCTAAGGATGCGTGGCACAGGGGGAGCTGTGTCGCTAACGGTGCCTCCCAGAAACCTGGGCGACCTCTGAGAGTAGTCTTGGGTGTAACCCACCCGAGACAAGCCAAGCCCTGGGCAATCGCGGCAATGCACCAGGTGAAAACGCTTAACCGCGGTACTCGTGGGACTAAAATGGAAACCAATTTAAAAAATCTTAATATTGAAAAAGCAACTTCGGGTGGGGCCAGCGATGGCGAACACACGAAGTCTGACAAGGCTGACCAGTCTGGTACCGATGTGAATCGGGTCAGACTGAGTGGAGCCGAGAGAAGACGTCGCAAGAGAGCGAAGCTGCATCAAACCTCGGGGGCGATTGCAACCTTGACGGATGCAGCAGCGAAGGTCGATGAGGGAAGGGGGGAGGGGGCTACGAGGAAGGCAATAAAACGCCTTCCATCAGAGCGTACTACGCCAAGCCCCTCAGTCAGACCGAAAGAAAAGAGAATGAGAACGCAGGATCAGGGCACATATGCTCAGAACACTACGAGCTCATTCAAGTTTGCAGTTATGCCGGAGTCATATCCGGATCAGAAACTGGGCACTGAAGAGGTAACGGAGGTGAAGAAACTCCTGAAGAGGGCCATTCTGGCGTTACCTGACGGGGTGAAAGCACCCACCTTCAACGGTGTCTGGGAAAGAGAAGGTGTGGCAATGGTGTGCTGCACTGATGAGGAAACGGGAAATTGGCTGAAAAGCCTTTTCCCCGAAAACAAAATAGCTGGACTTACTGTACGTGTGGTCGCAGCCTCGGAGCTTCCCAAGAAGCACAGGGTTGTACTACACGTGGAAGACCCAGATCTAACCGCTCAAGAAGCACTGTGCTTCCTTGAGAAACAAAATGCAGGACTGCAGGCCAGAGAGTGGGTTGTCGCTCGGGGCAGTGAGAGTAGGGACGCGAAAAGTGCCCACTTCGTTGCGCTGATAGACGACCGATCACTCTCTGTTCTGAAAGCCTGCAACTTCAGACTGCACTGCGGGATTCAAAAAGCTACTGTCAAGCTGCTTGCGAAAGACCGTGGTGAAAGTCAGAAGAAGGGTACATAGAGGTACCAGGAAAGTAGTCATCATTATGGCTGCAACCCGGGTGCACATTGTACAGATAAATTTGCACCACAGCAAAGCAGCCTCGGCTACTCTAGTCAGGCTGTTAGCTGGGATGCAGACTGTCATAGCAATGATCCAGGAACCATGGATAGTGGACAATGCTATTAAGGGCCTCAGTGGTTGTGGCAGAATCTATCACGCAAACACTCAGGAGAAAATTAGATCTTGCATTGTTATTAAAGGACTAGACTCTTTCTTCTGTTCACAGGCTAGTGAGGGAGACCTGGCTGTGGCACAAGTGGATCTGGGCCTGGGACAAGGCGAGGAAATGAGCCTGGTTGTAGGGTCAGTTTACATGCCCTATGACTCGGCTGAACCACCTCCTTCGAAAAAAGTAAAGGACCTATGCAACCATGTGAAGGAAAGGGGACTTGAACTCCTGCTAGGTTGTGAT